ACATGGACGCCTGTCAGGAGCAGGGCTCTTCCCTGACTCCTCCACGCTGACGATCCTCTTTCTGCCACAGCCGGGTCCACCTGCCCCCCTCAGGGTACCGAAGGCTGAAAGCAAAACTGCCCCCTGCTCCCCCCCGGCCCCGCCCCCACCCCCGCAGCTCGGCCCCGCACAGCAGAGCGGCGCCCCGCTCCTGGGCACGTCGCCCAACTCCGCGCACGAGAGCCCAGCTTTCGGCAGACAGAAAGAAGAGAAAGGGGAGGAGAGGAAGACCGAAAATAACCCAGACAGCGGTGTCGGACCCGGGGGTCCGCGTTCCCAAAACAGGAACTTGTCTCGAGATCTCTTCCGGGCGTGGTAGCGGAGAGGAGGTGCCCAGCAAGAGCAATCGGACGCTCGTTTCCTTCCTCCGCAGACTCCCGCCTGCCTGCGCTTCCCTATCCCCCAGGCCTCCGGAGCCGGAGCACCGCGCCGATCCCGCCCCGCTGGGGTCACGCCCGGCCCACGCGTCTGTCCGCAGCCGGGTCAGAGCCGGACAGTTGGGTTTGCTTCCGAAAGTAAAACCAGAGCTCGAGGAAAAAAAAACCCTTCCGGGCGCACCACACCCTCATACCACTCTGACGTGAGAGAGGGAGGAGGCAAAAGAGAAGGAGAGATAAGGAGCGAACACGAGGGAGAAAAAAAACAAGGGAAACAGAAAATGGAGGGAACAGCAGAAGAAAAGCCTCTTGGAAAGAGAGAGAACACTAGAGGACGAGGACGAGGACGAGCGCGCTCCGAGGATGTGCATGGACACACTGGGCTCAGAGACATCCTGGCCCCTGGGCAGCAGGCCTCCCGGCTGGAGACGGCACCCTCTGTAGAGCCAGCCCACTCTGCGGGACAGACGCACAGAGCCCCTGCTGCAGCCCGGGGCCACCCAGTGGCACCCAGCCCTGCAATCTGCCATGTTCAGAAAGGAACAACGTACAGAAAGGAACACAGAAAGCAACAGAACCCTTGTAAATGTGTTCACTCCAGCAAAAGAAAGGTTTTTGGTTTTGTCTGAAAAGAACCCGCACAGATCTGCACAGTTTCCACTGGAATGCAGCGCTGACGGCAGACCAGGCCACCGGCCACGTCCGCCAAGTGCTGTCAGGATACCTAACAGGTCTCTGAGGCCCTGCAGGACGGGCTGCTCCCACACCCACAGGACCCACACCGGACAGGTGTGTCCAGCGGTGTCTTCTTCACAGAGATGCCTCCTGTCCGACAGGGGGGGCAGGTGGTCACTCAGAGCCATGGTCCTATCCCAGCATGCACCGCAGCAGAGCACGGGGGGAACATGCAGTCTGCTGCCCGGACAGTAGTCAAGCCCGTCCCACACGATGGTGCGCTGTGTCCCAGAAGTCTTCGCACCCCAGCAACGGGAGCTCGAATGCATCCATTACTTTACAACAATAAAAGTATAACACTTTGCAGCCTAATGCACATGATGTGAGGAATGTGTAAAGGAAGACAGGGTGCACATTTAAGCCTGGAATTGAAGAATCTTGGCAACCCAGAAGCCTAAAGGCTCTTCAGGAAGTTGGAACAGCCCCTCCCCAACCAGGGAGAAGCTGAAGAGCTTCTATCTGGCACCCTGTTGACAGGGCCAGTTGGCAAACAGATGAACTGCATAAACACAAGTGGCAGATAGAGATTGTCAATAAAACAGAAAACAAGCAAGAAAATTGCACAATTTCAAAGGCGTCAAAAAGCACAACAGAGCATTAAAAACAAACAAGAGTCAGAAATGAGCTTCCATTTTCTGTCCAAAATGAACCACCACACTCTGTGCAAGTTCTTTTCCCATTATAACCCTCACAATGACTGTCAATTACAGCCCTCCTGAACCCCCCGATGTGTCACCCCCCCCCCGCAGCAAAATGACACATTAAAGAGAGTATAATTACAGTGCCTGTCAGAAAAGGTACAAAAAACTAGACCTGTGTATAGTACATCGTTGAAAAGGTAGATGGACTGTGACCACTCTCCCGAGAGAGTTGCAGAGAGAGAGAAACAACCAGAAAACTGGCAATGAGGAGAGAGGACTGAGCAACATCTGTGTGTTTTATGGACATCTGTGGACTGCAGATGAAGAGCCAACTGTGCTCTGCTGGAATAGGACCCTGGAAATTCACACACCATTGCCCGACCAGCCCAGATATTTGGACATGCAGGACGGCGGCCCTGATTAAAAGACTTCTGGAACACTTCAGAGTGGAAATGACCACCGGGACAGACGGAGCGACCTCCAGCAGCCTGACCCAGCCTGACCCCCCTCCCCCGCACGCTGTCCGCATGGCTTTTGCTTTTCAGCAGCTTGTAACTGTTAACGCCAAAGAACAGCTAGCAATTCAGAGAGGACGAGCAGACAATCACCGGCTCCTCCAGCCGGCGCTAACGCAGGATTCCAATCAGACCAGTGCTTCAGCGTCTTCTCTTAATTGTCTGATTGAAGCTGCTGCTTACGATGGCGTCGGTAATTAAGGATTAACTGGAACAAAGACTTACAGTGGATGGGCCAACTGGGAAAGAAAAGGGGGATCATTTCACACGTGCTCACAGACTGAAAAACTCCCCATTCCTTAAGAGCACAGAAGCCTAACTGCAGAACACGCCGTGCCTCTCCAGAGCACGGCAAGGAAGCGATTCTCCGCGGTCCAACATGCCCAACCAGCTGACAGGCTGTTAGCGGCCTGTCTGAAGAGCAGCAGACCCAGCGGCCGTCTCGTCTCCAGGCTCTCTATTAGAACACCCGGGACGGTCGTTAAAGAATCAATCACAGAGAGCTTTCAATTAGTCAAACCCCGACGTCCCCGCAAGAGAGGGGTCCGCAACCGCTCCGTCCATATCCCCCCGGCAGGGGTCCAATTACCACTGTCATCACATCCGGAAGCGAGAGGTTCCCCCGAGCGGATCACATCGCCAGTACACCTCGCTCTTCTCTTCAGCCACCGGCGCCGAGTTACTAAAGGGCACAGCCCTGCACACCCAAACGCTCTCTTCAGTCACCCATCCACAGAACAGGCCCCCTGTGGGCTCCACACCCCCCCGAAGCAGTACGGCCTCCTGACCCCCCCCCCGCGCCCCGCACAGCCGGACAGCCGCCAGGCTGGACCCAAGACCCCCCTTCTCGCGGGCAGGTGACGGCCTGAGAGGGAGTCTGCTCACTTTCACACCACCACAGCTTTCACAAACAGCTTCAGGGGGAGAAAAAACAAACAGCACACATTCCTCTGAACTGCTGTCTCCAGGGAGATAAGAGGAGACTCGGCAGGCCTTCAGTCCCCTCGGACCTACCAGACTGAGGTCCCTGGACAGTGTGTATCCCAGCCTGCACCCCACTGACACTCACTGGAGCCCGGGCTCTCCTGCTGGCTTTTAACGTAGGGACAACCCCAGGCATTTCGGAGAGAAAACGCACCAGAGGGACCCATTTCAGGTGTTATACTATCCGTAGGCTCTACAGAACAGAATGTGCTCGGGAAGCAGGAAGGAGAAGCGTGTCAGTATCACCTCTGCAGATATTCACACATCTGCAATCACAGCAAGCTTGAGGACCTGAACTTGCTGAACTTGCACAGGCATGGAATCATATCCTCAGGTTTCGAAAAAATACCTGTACATCAAAAAAAAGAAAACAAGTTTCCTCTCGCCGGCTGACGGATGTGGTCGAGTTTCACTCCCTGACTAAGCCCCCTGGGGCCCAAGAGACTGGGCCTGCTCGGCAAAGCAGAGGAGGGGTTCTCTCGCCTGGCTGTGCCTTCGTCTGAACAAGCCTGCATCCCAGAGCGCACTGGAGTCAGCGCAGCGCAACCTCCCACGCGCAGAGCTGGACTGGTCTGGCCAGGAGACGTTTAGAAATTCTGACACACAGCACACAGCTGCTCCAGATGTGGAGGCCTTCTTATCTGCAGATAACTGAAGCAAGACTGGATTCTCTCACACACGGACGGGGGACCGACCTTGATGGATCTCACACGCAGCAGCCCCTCCACCCCTCCCAGCACCGTTCACACGGAACTGACACACCTGCCCAGAGCACAGAACAGGCCCAGAGCACTGGAGCCCTGCAGCCTGAGAGCCGGTCCGGGAATCACAAGACACTAACACGTCAAGCCACAAGATGAAGTCTTTCATTTCTGAACTCTCTTATCCTGGCATAGACTCACTACAGTAGGCCATATTTTAAAAACAAATCTACACAAAAAGGCACGTGATAGAAAACACCAGGACAATGTCCTCTTTCCGGAGGAAGAGTCCCGGGCCCTCGCTGGGAGCCTGTCCAGGGCCAGGCCGTCCCGCAGGCTGTGGTGTGGCGCGCCCCACCCCCCAGGCTTGCGTGGAGCTGGGACTCCGCAGGTGTGAGCCGAGCTCTTGGGCGTGAGGAAGTCCTGGGCAGTGTAGCCTGGTTTAGACTGCTCCTGACTGAGAACACATGGAACTATCTCTGCTCTGAAAAACAAGCAACCCTCCCCCTCCCTCCTCCTGCCCTCTGACCAGGGCTGCGGCGTGTCTGCACTCGCTCTTCAATGGTCCTGCTGTATCCTTCCACCTCTTCTCCACAGTCCTGGGCCACAAAACTGCCTTCAGACCTTCAGCAGCCAGAATGGGACTTGAAACACAATGACGATACTGACACCTGATTGGTGCTGTCTGACGTAAGAACTACATGTGCTGTGCGACAAAAAAATATTGTGCAGGCGTCCTCCCAGATCTGCAAGAACTGCGCAGCTGGCCGCTTCAGCTGCACCCCCAGATCTGCACTGCAAAAGACCATTCACCATCCGCGCGGCGCCACTGCTCAGGAGAAACCTCAAGGGATTTCCTACGCACAGCAACCTGTTGTCTTTAAACGCTCCAGAACCACGTCAGCACAAAGCTCCCCAGCTGCTGCTGCGCGGCTGTCAGCGCAAGACCAAGGAGAGGCAGTGGGGCGCAGGACAGAGAGACCCGAGGTGCCAGTGTGCTGCACTCACCTCTTGTGCTCGTCGCCAAGTCGGCCACCTTCTGAAAGGCGTCCAGGAACGAGCTTGTGACGAGGATTGTTGTCCTGAAAAACACAGCACAATGGGACAGGAGATATCAATGGCAACGCCACTGAATCAGTTCACACAGTTCAGCAGTCAACCTCTTTTATTTCTGTTCTCGGGCATCCTGGGGTGCCATCTAGCTCCCTTCCCCCAAAACCTGCTGCAGACCAGAAAGCAAAGTTGCTCATTCTCTCTTTTTTTTTTGCTGAAAAAAGATCTCTTAAGCAGGATCTGGAATGTGGACCCTAACCTTCAGACTGTGCCGCAAGCACCACTTTACTTCTTAACCTGGTTCTGAATGGGCCTCATTGTTGGCCCGCAATCGCACATCCCCAGCGGCGCTCAGTCCTCTCCGAGACTATGCTGGGAAACCAGGGTCTGGCAGCGCTCTGAACTTCTGCGACAATCCGCACCCCTGTCCCCTAATGCACGCACACACGATCCGGGGAATTACGAACAGCATTCCTTTTCTTTTCCTCAAAGGTACTGGTCTGGTCCCCAAATCCAGAAAATACCTCCTGCAGCCACTGCTGCTGCTGCTCGGTCAACTGCATGGCCAGTGGAGCAAGCTGACTGGGCACTGCCAGGCCTCATGGGATACTGGCGGACACGGGTTCGAGGAAAAGCTCTGCCCCCCCACAGCAGCAGCAGCAGGGCAAGTTCTCTCAAATGATCTCCTTCACTAGAAGCCCCTGTCGATACTGAAATATACGTGACGATTACCTACATTGCTAATTGTCATTCTAAAACACTGAAAGAGGAAGTGGACACGTCTAAAGGTCTGCTGTGCGAGAGCGCTGGTTTTACACGCTACTGTGCTGTCGGGGTCCCCTCAGACAGACCAGTGTCTGGGCATCCCTGAGTGTTAGGAAAACAATTCACTCACTGATTTTCACACGTCAATATTTTAAAAGGAATTTTAGAGCCTTTGTTTTCAATTTAAAGCTAAGTTCCCGGCTCAAGGCAGGGGGGCTGGGAGAATCTGGGAAAAGGGGGAGGAGACACAGTGTTCCTGGGAATCCGGGACACAACTCACCTGAGCTGGGACTGCAGCTTCGTGCCTTTGGTGACAAAATCCTCCCAGGCCGGATAACTGGACTGGAAAGTAAAAGAGTCAGAGGAACAGCATTAACATCAGGGGGAACAGAATGCTAAACACAGGGGTTGCCCGAGGTCAGCTTGTGACCCGGACGCAATCCTGGCTCAGCTCCCGGGAACCCAGAGCGTCTCTTTGCTTCGCCGGAGCGCAGCCGATCCCACAGGGGGGCCTCGCCTTGCTTTCCCACTCCCGGCAGCACCTCTCCACTCCAGCTCTCTTGCCCCCGAGACGACGACCTCGGCACGACTTCCTTCCTAATTAAGAGGGCTTGCCAGGGAGGGACGGCGGAGCAGGACTGAGAGAAAAGCATTTTTAAATGACGTCATCCCCAACTAAAACCAAACGCACATCACGCAAGGAGAGAAAATGCTCACGCTGCTTCCTAACCATGTTAGTCCAGAAAGCCCGAGCGGCCTGACAGGTAACTCAATCCGGGCACCGCAGCCACGGAACAGAAAATCTGCCTCCACCCCCGGAATTTTATTCCAGAGGAAAAGACCCTTCAAATCCCACTTCCTTATCCTCCCTCAGGGACGGAAAAGTTTAGCAGTCGGAAAACAGCTGTTTTCCAGCAGCCGACGGCCCAGCAGAGAATTGGCTCCAGAGCATCGAGGTCCCCGCTCTGCTGCGCCTTCGCTTCAGTCAGGCTGAATAATCTGGCTGACGGCTACAGAAATCAAAACTATGCAAATATGCAACACATTCCTCCCAAAAAACACGTTTCAAAGGCTGTCTGCTGACCTCAACTCACAGCCACACAGCAGTGCAGACACACCAGGAGAATAAGAAAACCTTCAAACTACAGACCTAACGTAACATAAGACTTATTTATCGCCTCTATCAAAACGAATTCCCAACCCAGTGGACGTCACTCTTGTTCTGGCTGTGAAGCGCTGTGGTCTCAGCATGCCTCTGCTCCTGTGCTGCTGTAACAGCCCTGCTCCGATCCCAGTTTTCCTAGTTAGGCTAATCAACACCATCCAACTGATCTGGACAGAGACCCAGGCGCCTGCAGTTGTCTTCTTCAGCGTCTCTCCCCGAGAGAGACCTCCGGCACGGGGAGGGGGGCCTCCGGCACCCCGGCTCGCTCAGGAAGAGGAGCCGCGATCGGACCCCAAGTCACTGGGAGCCGGGCTCCTGTTTCAGGCGGCTCGACCGCGGAGGAGCAACTGCCCGACAGGTGTCCTGCAGCTAGCAGGCCCTCTCGATCCGCACACAGCGCAGCTGCGGGGCAGGAGCAGCTGGTCCCAGCTGTCTCTTCGCCCATACCAGAGTGGCTTGCAGCTCCACAAACACTAAGCCCTGCCATACACAAAGAGGGGTGCATGAGTGGAGCAACCAGTCATGCTGCTACAGCAGCACAGTGTTTACTGGACTTTGAAGGAATGGTGGGATGAGGTCTTCAGACCAGTTACGATCCAGTTAGAAGAGCATCGTTCTCTGCAGCCTCTCTTCTGTTACCCTCAATGCACCCAACCAGTACAGCACTACAAAGCTCCGCCAGGTTTCGTACACCAGCCTGAGGCGACGACTCCAGTCCGCCTTGCAGGGCACTCCACTTCATGTTTTATAAGCTGCAGGCTCTTGTTTAACTTCTGCCTACGAAGCTCAAAAGCTCAATATTTTAATAAGATTTTTACTTATTTCACATATTTAGCTATCTGCAAATTTACACAAAACATGCTTGCAAAACCTGGAATATCCAGGCGATCCCGGCGATTGTTCTCGAGAGAAAAAACTTTTCCGAGCAAAAAGAGAGGAGGCCTAGAATCCCAGTCGAGCTCAACGGGTTCAACCCAGTCCTGTAACCAGCACTGGCTAACTCCACACACTGGGCAAACTGGAATCGAACCCAGGACCCTGGCACTGAGAAGCTAGTTGTAAAACCAGCTTGGCTAACTCCTTCCCTGACAGACAGTCCAATATTTCACACCCATAGAGCACCAGAAAGCCCAGCACAGAGCATCACTGCTGCCTGCAGGCAGAACCAGCAGAGACAGCGCCCCCTGTGACAGATGAGAAGATGCCCTTGGGCAGAAGCCAGGCCGAAATTCTCAGGAATTGTTGCATCCCACACACAGAACTGACAGCGCGGTAAAGAGTCAACATGGAGGAAAAACAGTGATCAGACTTTCAGAAGAACTCCTCTACTGATGAGTCACACTGCCTGCTTTTCAAGTACCGTACAATCATTCCTGGGAATTTCCATCCCTGATGTTATAGATATGGATGGAACTGCACGACAGTTTTTACCCTCTATCACCGTCTTGGCCGATGCTGCAGTTGAGTTCTGCTCCGCATCTTCCAAGGGGAGAAGCTAACCTCAGTTTTGGGCTTATTGCGTATCTACCGAATTCTCACAGACCTCTCCATGGAAAACAAACTGTAATATCCCGGCCGAGCGAAGAGCCGCAGGTCACCTGAGCTCACAGCTGCCTCTTCGCTTCCCTGGCAAGTCGAGAAAAACCTGCCAGCGGTCTCCCGAGCTGCAGCAGGGGACACTTCACTCAGCAGGCTACTACTGTGCCACCAGCCAGCTGAGCATCCTGCTGGACCAGTGGTGATGAGCTTCCAGCCCATCGGCCCCTACGCCAGATTTTCAGGGAGCAACAGGCACGTGGAGATGGGATACAACCGGGCGGCTCTGCTCACAGTCCTGCCCACATGCAGCTCCTAGAAACGGACTCATGTGCTGCCACGGGCGCGAGAGGGAATCTCCCCGTGTTCGTCTTCATGGCAGGCTCTGCAAGAAGGCTCCAGGCGTGCGGCACAAACGCCCTGCGAGGATGAACTTGCTCTTGCCAAGTCAAGGATATTCAACGAGGAATCACAGATGTGTGCAAGTCAGCACAGGCGCCGGCAGACTGCTGCGGACCTCAGGAGCCGACACGCTGGTCCCTCCCCAAGCTCCGGGCGGCTGGATTAACACGGGCCGGCCAGGCCCGGCTCCAGGCCCAGACCGGACGGCATCCGGCTCTCCTTGTAGCCACTGCACTCAGAGGAGTCAGGAAAGGAGCAATGTTTTAAAACGGGCAGCTGAAGTGATCCACACTGGAGGACGTCCTCTTGCACATTTTGCTGTTTCTTGCGCTCTCTCCCCACAGCTTCCTGCTGATCCTGACACAAGTCTTCCCGCTGCCTCTCTGAGTGGGGTTTGACCGCCTCACACACGCAGTCGTCATTAATTAGCATCAATAATTAACTCCCTGACTGCCCAGAGGCACAGCCACTGGGATCACACACAAGGTTACGACCGGAGGCGGCCCCGTCAGCCACACAGGCTGATCTGAAACTGCAGCCTCCTCCTCTTCCTCCGATTCCAGGGGAACCAGAAACTGAAGCCTCTGCAGCACATCAATAATTAACAAACGAGGTCAGCTCAGTCTGGGAGCTTTAATTGGAACTAACGAGGAGGGGGTGACGCAGAAGACAATGAAAAATCGTGGACTGTGTTTTCGCGGGTGGTGGAGCACGTTTAGAGCAGAATGGAGACGAGAGAGAGAAGGTCACTCAGCCCATCTCGCCCATTCCACAGTCCACATTCCTGCTCATCCAAGCAATGGCTTTCTCACCCAAACCCAAATGGAAAATTACAGAGGAAAGAACGCAAAAAGCTCTACCATTCACGTGATTTTTCCTACCCTCTGTGCGAGACAGCGGAATAAACCACCCCAAATCTGCAAGGCACTTGAGTGTTTACGAAAATGCCGCACCCTCGTCCCTTTCCTGTGAAGGACACACCAGATTGCTTTTGCTTTTGCAATCTTGCTCCATGCAGAGCTGCAGAGTGGAAGAGAAAGAGGAACAGCCACGCAGCCAGCCCGGGTCAGGTAGGAGAGCTGCAGTCCCGGCTGCCCCAGCCCAGTTCCTCATTCCATCGTATTCCTTTACTACCTGACTGACTGACTTGAAAACACGTCCTCTGTTTTCAGTTTTGGAAATTACAGATTTTACTTGACGTAGACAAATTCACAAGTAATTTGCAAGCTTCCATCATTTCAGGAGCAGAAAGCAAATGGGAAAAGCCCAATTCATTTACTGTTTTGCGCAACCAAGAGTTCAGTCAAGCCAACAGGAGGTCCGGCCACACGCGAGACGGGCCGTCTGGGAAACATCACGGCAGCTGGCCCGTTCACTCTCTCTGACCACAGGCCTGGGCAGCTCCGTGCTGCTTCCTCCCTCCCAGAGCCGGTCGGCCCACATTCCTCTCCGTCAAAACAACAGAACCAACCCGATCGGTTTACAACCAGGGCTGGGGTCACAGCCACGCCCAGCACAGCACGTCACCGGCACGCACACATGCGAGACAAGAGGGCACCCGCCCCGTCCTGTCCCAGCAGGCCCGGGGCAGGACACCTGCGTGGAGGCGGGCGGAGAGAGAGGTTCTGAGCTGTCAGCACCTGGCACCCTCCCATCATGCCTCAGCGGAGGCCCAGCCCTGACATCTCCGCACACAAGCCATGCTGACTAAGGGGGCAGCCACTCACCCAGGATACCGCAAAACAGCAACCAGTCCCGAAGCGTGACTCAGGCCTTACTCACCGCTGGTGTTGCCATTGAGGGACGGCCCACTTCCTGCTGGGGCCAGGCCCGCTTCTCCAGCTCAAACAGAGCCCCAGGCGAGGCCCTGCAGGAAGGCTGGCCCCTTCCCCAGCCCCTCGGCCCCCAGCCAACCAGGAGTTCCCCGGAATTGCTGGCCCCTTGTCACACCGACCCCCAGAAACGCAGACCTCTGGTCACACCGACCCCGGCCTTTTTAGCTGCCCAGCAGCGGAACAGAGGCTGCAGGCCTTTCAACTTGGAGATAAGTTTAATATTAACTAGAGCTGGAGAGCTAGTTTTCTGCAGGCCTGGCGCTCCTCCAATGTGTAACTGGGCACACGGTTCTGCTTCACCTCCCACCCCGGTGGGGCGGACCAGCCCAGAGGAGACAGAAGCATGATGGGAGAAACCAACACCTCCTGGGCACTTCACGGCCTCCAGCCCAGCCGCGCCGGTGCAGAGGGAGAGAGGGAGGGACCTGCAGGCCCTGCTGCTCGCACACAGGGGCACTCCGCCAGGCAGTGGGAAAACTGGGCTGTTTCCCTAACAGAGCGCAGTCAAACGACCAGCTCGGAGCGACTGCAGCCTGTTCCACCTCCCCTCGCTGCTCTTCCGCAGCCGTGCAAAGGGAGAATCCGAACAGGCGCACTGCAAACACCGGAAAGCAAAATGCATTATCTGTGGGCGCCATTATTTGATGCAACGGACACGTGTCAACGCTTTTGTCCGAATCTCCAGGAGCCTTACGGGCAATCACACCAGCTGCCTTTCCAACAATCCTTTCTAAAGGCACAACGAGGGTCCGCCCTCCTGCTGACCACGCCACACTGGACATCACCGCTGGACGCCTGCTGATCCCCCTCGTCCTCCAGAATTTCACACAGCACCGGGAAGCTGGACCTGATCTCGCTTCATCGGAAGGACGCCTGCAGAAGGACAGCAGGACAGGGCTGGCGTCCCTGGACAGACCCAAACCCCGAGCCCCAATACATCAAGCACCCCACTCTACAGACAGCACTGCCCCGCTGGTCACTGGAATGGCAGGGAGGAGAAACAGGTCGACCGCGCTGCCCCCGCAGACAGACGATGTGACCTGCCCCAGTTTCGCTTCTGAGCACACTCAGCACTGCATTTCTTTCAAATTTGCATCGCTGCGCTTTTAAAATAAAACTAAAGCCGCATGCAAAACTAGTGAACTGAAGTGCCGGCTCACTGCCCCCCAGCCACCCCCCACTTCCCTTCCTTTAAATTTAACGTGTGGGAAGTGAGTGGTGAGAACCGGCCACTCCTTCCCCTGCGCGCTCTGTGCAGCAGTCGCCTGAGCCGAGCCCCACCCCGGCCAAGGACACACTGCGGCGCATGGGCCCCACGGCGGCTCCCAGGGCACCTGCTGCACACGGGGCCGAGTCAGGACAGGGTTCCCAAGCTGGCAGGACCAGGGGGTGGGTTTTTCCAACCTGAAACGCAGACAGGGAACTTCATCTGAAGACTCTCAAGAGCGGGTCTCTCACACACCCTGCAGCCATGCAGCGGAGGGCCGAACAGCTTCCTCGTTTGTCCTCGCCCTGCACTACCAGGGCGTCTCACCCCTGTCACCAGCCCAGAGGCCTCCTGCTCCCCGCTGAGCTCTCTGCCAATCACCTCAATCGCCTTCACAGCCAACACCTCCGTCTCCAGATCTCAACCTGCCAAGGGCTTTCCAGCAACCCAGGACGTGCAATATTCCATTTTCTAGCAGCGGAAGAAGGACAACGCTAAACGTTCTGGCCAGCAGAAAGACCCGGCTGAGGGCTCAGCGAAGCGAGGGCAGACCAGGGCCGACCCGGAGGCCCGGAAGGCCCAGGAGCCAGCGGCGCCCGAGCTGCACGTCAGTCAGACGCCCACAGACGGACGACCTGCGGCTGGACCGCCGACAGCCTGCAGGGCAGCAGCAGCCAGCGCAGCCGGCTGGGTCCCTCCGCAGGGAACGAGTGAGCGTGTGTGTGCTTGTGTATCTTATGCCATTTGGATTTACTTAGTGCCTCTTCCAGGCAACAGGCTCAATGCGCAGTGCACTCTCCTCTCCTGGAGAACCTTCATAAAAACAAGGCATTATGACAGCCAACGCTGAGCCAACTGGAAAAATGAGGCTCCCAGATCAGTGCGTGGATCATGCCAGTGTCCAGCTGCCAGCAGCTCGCTTCAAGACGAGCTCTGGCCAGATGGCAAGGCATGCCCTGTGATAACGCACGGTGCCAACACAGCCTCCGATTCCTCCTCTGAGCACACACGTGGCCTCTCTCCCACACAAAAACAAATACTGCTACAAAACACCTAGCACGACAGGGAGCCGACTCAGACACCTGCACCTGGCAGCTCCGACAAGCCTTAACCAGGGCCTGATGCAGGAGGGTCATTTACACCCCACGCACACAACTAGTAACCACTTTTGTATTGCGAGATACAAAATGTATTGTATTGGGAGATCAGGACTGCTTTCCTATGGTTGGGCTTGGCAATGGGCACATATCCAGCCTGATCAATGGCATTCCTTAACAGAACCGTTACCCACAGGGCTGTGTTACACAGACACAGAGGTGCTAACGCAACACAAAGCCCAGGAGCTGACATCCCACTGATCTCTCCAGAAAGCCAGGAATGCAGACGCTGACCACAAACCCCATTCCGTGATGCGTGTCTGCACTCGCACCCAGGCTTGAAACCAAGCAGCGGATCACGCCATCACTTCACCAGCACGTGTGCCCCCACCACCAGGCACGGGAACTGCTTGCGAACCGCAAAAATGGCTCATGTCCATACTCCACGGCAGCGGTGTAATTCTGTCGAGCCGAGAAACGGTCAGGTGCCTCGTGTCCGCAGGTCAGCAGGGAACAAGTCGCCCGGGAACGGAGGCTTCGCGCGGCTGGACGCCAACGCTCTAGCGATCGAGGGGGGCTTCCTGCTCGCTGAGGCTCATCAGATTACACTGTGCAGAAACAGCTGGGCGCCACCTGACCTGCACACACAGCGGATGGACTCCCTGGCCAGCGTCCGCCACGCGTCTTTAAGAGAGGCCCACCTGTGCACACGCCCGGCAACGAGATCGCGAACCATACCACCGCACGGCGTGTCTCCACCTGGCACGAGCTGCGCAACTCCCAGTGAATCATGGGCAAGCGCCACAGCCACATCACGCCTCAAGACGCTCGCACGCCCACACTGGCAACCTACTGCTGAACGCTCTGGAAAAAAAACTTCCGTCAGACAGAGCAGAGCCAGCGGCCTGCAATCTCCCTGGTTCTCCCTGATTCAGAAGACCAGCCCAGGGTCCCATCTTGAAGCCCCAGACACCTAAAGCTTCTCCGCCCCCGTGCAGATCACAGACGAGCGCCTTTGTGCTGAAACCCAGGGGAGCCCCTTCAACACAGTCTCCGCTGGGAACCAGAAGGCTGCAGGCGTTAGTTTACTGGGTTCTCAGCCTGGAGAGAGCGGGCTGCACCCCGTTTCAGCACGCAGAGCCCCGCCCAGCGCAGCACGACTCTCCGGACCGACATATACAAGACAGAACCGAAACCCAGCCGAGGAGAGGCGAGATCTGGGATCTGAAAGAACCGTACTCCTCCACCGGGTCTGCCAGGACGGGCCCGTCCTGCTTTAACCCTTCCCTTCCCGGGGATAAGGCTCGGAAGAGCACCTCAGACGGCAGCGATCCCGAGACTCCGAGAGCACCATGGGAGCATCACCTCCGCGTCAACAGGGCTCGGCTGGGAAAGAGAGGGGGAACAGCCTCTCTGCCTCGTGCCCCTGCTACAGCCGAGGCTTGAGCAGCAGCAGCCCTGCCCAGGAGCGACAGATCCCGGTCTGCAGCCACGAGCTCCTGAAGGAAAACGAGAGGAGGCCCACGGGCAGAAGCCCCAGCCCTCAGCCTGCTCCAGGCCAGGTCCACCGCGTCAGTCGGGCCAGACTGCAGAGGCCCGGCAGAACCCGCCTGCAAAGATGACGGGAGGGCCGTTTCAGGAACTCCGCACGGCCCAAACTACTCCCCTCAGTCCCAACGGCATTGTCCCGCTGCAAAACAATGCCTTTTACAGAAAAAAAAACACACACGGCCGTTGCATTCTTGCTATTGTGTGTAAACCACAGATTACAAATCCAAAGAAAATACAGCCGAGCTGGGGAAACGAGTCAGGTCTGCTCACTCCAGCAGGTTCGAGGTCTCACACCACAAGCGCCCCAGAACAGCGACGCCACAGAGTACTGCTTCCCGCGTCGCCCCAGGCGAGCGCACACCCAGCCAGCACCGACCCACCGGAACACGGGCCTGGGACCGAGACGCTCAATGGGGGGCCGGAGGCCCGCTGCGACCCCGGGCTTCATCCGGGGGTTCCCTACAGCTGCAGCCGGGCAGACGCTGCTTCAGCAGGAGGTGGTCAGGGGAGCTGGGAGATGGTGAGGGCGAGGACAAGACACCCCCCCCGAGGGGCTCTGCTGTGGCTCGGGGTGCGAGTGTCGCCAGCACAGAGGCACAGAGGGGGGGGGACCACTGAGGGGGACCCAGCCCGCCGCCGGGGAGGAAACGGGGGAATGACGTCACTGAGGATTCCTCTCATTAGTGGGGAGGCCGTCCCCCCGGACGGAGGGTTTCTCTGCCCCTCTTTCTTCAACTTTCCTCCCGCCCCGGTTTACGCGTTTTGAAGGGAGGGACTCTATTTTACTGTTACGGCTGGCGTCCGGTGTCTCTGAGGGCCGGGCTGTGCCGCCACCTGCGCGGCTGAGGCCTCACTTCCGGCTCACCTGGGGGCTCCCGTGCGGCAGGTAAGGCGTGTTCGCCTCTCCCTCCTCCTGAACCTGTCAGCCGGACTCGGACTCGGACTCGGACCCCCCTCCCCTCCCCGGTCCTCCCTCCCACGACGAGGAGCCGACCGGCGCCACCGGGAAACGCGACGCGTCAAACTTCGCGGCCCTGTTCGCCTCGGCGCCTTGACCCGGGTCAGCCCAGTCCCGGACCAACAAGACACGCGTGGAGCCGCACGCTCCTGGTCCGGGGGACTCGCGGCGCTCCTGAGCGTGGTCCACGCGTGGGTCCCCGCCGCGTTCTGGTTAATCGGAGGGCGTTTTTTTTTCCTATTTGTTATTTTTTTAAGGGGCTTCGATAACAAGAAAGTAAGACTGTTGTGCGCGTCTGAGATGTTAAATTCAGGCGTTAGGCAACCCCGCACGCACGTCGTTATGTGCGTGAAACCAAACACGCACACTCACTCTCACACACACTCACTCTCACACACACACGCAGACCCCGTCCGAGCCCATTGTTACAAATCACCCACCCCGGCGGGTCCGGTCCGCAGGGCGAGTCGCTCACGACTCCTACCCGCCTTACCTTCATGTCGTTCATGATGGTCTGGAAGAGCCCTCCCAAAGTGCTGCACTCTCTCTCGATCCCCGCGTCCATCTTCCCTGCCGACTGCGCACCCACGGGCGCGGACTGGGGGTCTCTCCAAGCAGCCAGACCGCCGCGACAGCGGCTGATGTCCTCCGGAGAGGGAGGCGTTTGCGTGCGTGTGTGTCCGGGAGAGGAGGTGGCGAGGCTGGGGAAAGGGAGGTGGAGGTGGTGGTGGTGGGGGTAGCGAAAAACTGGGAGAGAATAAAAAATGATAATAAATCCAGCGAGCGAGGTGGTGGGGGTGGGGGCAGAGCTAGACCACCACTTTCAAAACATCGCTCGGGAGGGTCAATCCCAGCCAAAGGCGTCCTCAATCCGCCGGCGTGTCCCGATCCCCGCAGCGCGGCGCAGGGCGGCTGTGTCCCGGGCTGATCAGCGCAGCTGCTTTGCGCTCCCCATGGCGTGTCCCGGTGCCCGCCGCTCGGGATTCCCAGCCTGCTGTCGCCGGCGAGGCAAGTGCGAAGTCCGGCCCGGGGCTGCGAGGCTGCTGTCTGGCACTCGGGCTGCGAGGTCCGCGGCTGTCTGCGTGTGTGTCTGCGCGGCGCTCCGGACTCCCAGTCTGCCCCCCTCCTCTCTCTCTCCCCCCACAGGGCGGAGCTCCTGCGGCCTCTGCCGGTCGGGATCTTCCGTCCTTTTCCGCCGCCGGAGCTCGGTCTCGCCTCCAAATCGGTGAGCGCCCCGCAAGCGCTCTCTGCGCGCCGCAAGGCTCCGCTCCGGAGCTGGGAGCTGGGAGATGGGATTCCAGTGAGGATCTCGGGTTGTTTGACTTCTCCAAGCACTCGGGAGCTCCGACTCGCACTGGATTCCCGGCTCCCTGCTTCCCTCTTGCAAAACCCAAACCGCGGAGATAGGAGGCGAGGCGTGACGTCAGAGGGTTGAGTGGCTGTTTTTTTCCCTCTCTGTAGTGACAGGCAAGCGCTGCAAGGCGTGATGGGACGTGTGGGAATTCATCACGGAAAATGAGGATGCTTACCAAACTGTTGCAAAAGTTTTCACGGCGCTGCGTAACACGGGAAGTTCTCGTTTTTTAGATCGGTGCGGTTTATCCGAGTTCAGCATTATTTTTGTCTTCGTGTCTGTAACAATGTGCATTGAATAAACATAAAATAAGATCACTTTATTGGCCATATACAATTTCTTAAATTAGGAATTTGTCTTTTCGAATACCCCAACTTGCTCTCCGTGAGACACACAGAAAGGTAGAGAAGCTGGGGGTCAGAGCGCTGACATTTATACGGCGCCCCTGGAGCAGTTGGGGTTAAGGGTCTTGCTCAGGGGCCCAACAGAGTAGGATTCCTCTGCTGGCTGCGGGATACAAACCGGCAACCTTCCAGCCACGGGTGCAGATCCTGAGCCACAGAGCCACCACACCGCCACAAACACACATATCCGTGCAGCTCTGCAGTGTGTTGGGTCCAACAGTCAGAGTGCAGGGATCTCCCCAGGGCTGGAGCCCTGCAGGATGGGGGTGACCCTCTGGGCACAGCTGTGCGACCCTGGGCACATCCGGCCCTCAGGCAGGAGCGAGGCCACTGTGACCCTGAGCCGGCTGGGATCGAGGCAGAGCGGGCGGGCAGCTGGGGCTTGTGTGATGAGTCTGACCATCGATCTCAGCATCTTCTCGTGTGTTCACAGGGGAAAGATGCTCTTGTTGGTCCTGCCGTGTAGTAATAACTACAACAGTTCCTTCCATTTGCACGTCTTGAACTGGAGGGGGCCTGTGCCACCCGCTGCTCCTGGCTGCAGAGCCCCCTGGAGCTTATTCCACCTCTGATCTGAGCGATCTGAATCAATCAAGCTCATCGCTCTCGGAAACGAAACCACCTGTGTGCTAATGAGTTGCTAATTGAAACTGCGGCCCCTCGGGTGTCCCCGAGCCGAGCGGGAGCAGAGTGTGTTGGGGCGAGGGTGTCCGTGATGAACACACTCACACTCACCGGCCAGCGCAGGGGGTAGGAGGTGGGTAACAACGTCAGGGAACAGCCCGCACCGCTGGTCTCCCTTTCGGCTGTCCGGGCACGTCTCCACTCCCCCGCCTCTCCTCTGATCAGCCGTGACTCACTGCGCAGTCACTGCCAGGCCGTACGGGCTGGCAGGGTAACCACAGCAAACACAGCCCTCTCCCTGGCCCAGCCGGGACAGCAGACCCGGGCTTTCCGCTCCTCTCCTCGGAGAGCTGGGACTCTCCTCTCCGCATCCGTCATCTTCGCCCAGCGAGATCACCGACGAACCTGTTTGAAGGACAAAAAAAACGCCTCCTGCATTCTCTCAGGTCTCGGCCAGCGACGGGCTCGTCACGTTCACGTCCAGGAGCCCCCCTCCTGTCTCGGCGCTGCCCTAGAGCAGGGAGTTAGTTCCAGACGAGAGGAGATTTCCGGCCCATTCAGTTCCTCAGATCCGGGACACCTGAGGATCTTATCTATCCGTTTCTTGAATAAAGCCGGGTTATCGGCTTCCACAAGGTGTCCTGTGATGGACTGGCGTCCTGTCCAGGGCGTACCCTGCGGCGCGCCTGCTGTTTGCTGGGATCGGCTTCGGCCCCCCTGTGTTGGACAATGCGGTTAGGGACTAGGTGGCCCGGTGGCTCAGAGGTGAGTTGAAACCCAGAAGACCCTCAGGTTTTTCAGCCCCGCCCGGGTCTACAGCTCTGGCCAGCAGTCGGCTGGGGGCTTGGTCACGCCCGGACCACGCTCTGCTGCCCGTCGTTCCCTGGGGCCGCCGCCACGCTCCTGTGTACTCCTCGCTGCTCCGGGCGCCGGCCCGGCGGCTCTCCGGAAGACCATGTCATCGCCACAGGAGGAACACTGTCGCCCCAGGTGGCAGGTGGCGTTCCCATGGTTACTTCCCTAACCCGAGGCGGTTGTGTGGTTGCAGGGCTGCAGGGGTGGGAGTGAAGGGCACGGTGAGGAGGAGGCCGGACGGAGCACGCCGCGGGCACCCCGGGCGGGCTGGACAGAGGTATGCACACGCACATACACACGCAAATCGCCAAGACTGGCACCGTGGCTTTCAAACACGCCGCCATTCTTCTTGTGTCTTAACTGTACATGTGCGCATTTCACCTCCCTATACAGGGTAGCGTTTGTAAAAACCCCAATTTAAAACAAGATATTAATTTACTCTGCTCCTTCCATCCTTAAATGCAGAATAACTGTTGCGAATGTATGCGAAATGAACAAGGAGGGCGTGAAAAAAAGCCGGGGACGAAATAGTATTTGTTGAAAACTACAACAAGGGAGTCTCTCTTCCTCCGCCTACTTTGAATGCGGGGCCCAGGCACGAGAAACTGGAGAACAGGATAGGTTTCGCTCTGTTGACCGTTGTGACTGTCTGTGCTGCCCTCTGCTGGTGAAGTGGAGGATTGACGCCAAAAGCCCCGCACGCCACCTTCGGAAGTGTATCAAAAAACTGCACATCAAAAACTTTCGTCTCGATCACCTAGAAGAGAGGAGCTCTTGGATAAAACCATGTCTTCTGATGCAATTCAAACCGAACCACATCAAATTGGACCCTGTGGACCTTCATCTTTACAGAAATGTTACCACAAAAAGAAATGTAAAGGGAAACAAGTCATCCAGGTGGGGCTGCACATTGGTGGTGGTGGGGAGTCCCCATTATCTGTAAAGTGCAATTATTAATTATTATTAGTACAAGTATTAAACCAGCAAAAATCAGCTAAACAACCCTCATTTTAGGGGCACACACTCAGCTCGGGTGCAGGGAATAAGCAAAGTAGTTGATCTCCTTTATCAACAGCCAGAGGTCATTTACGTTTTTTGAAAGAATGAAACGGAGCACCAGTTAAAAATCTTAAAAAATCAGATTTAATATAGAACATTCATAGAAATGGATGTTAAGAACGTAGATTTTACAAACAGTGATCATCTCTTCTTGTAGTCAGTAAAAAGGCAACATAAAAAATAACAATGAGAAAATCGTGGTTAAAATCACTCTGGCAGCAGACCCCAGTGTAACCACCTCTGCAGCTGGGCGCTTTCCCCATCAACCCCTGCTGCCAGACAGCCTCGGTTTCCCAACATGCAGGGCTCCTGCCCACTCCTGGAACCTGACCAAACCACAGGTGGACACAGCCGGGCATCTGCAGACTACAAACAGCACTTTATCTCCTCTTGGGAAATACGAAGAAGAACCTTCGACAAACTTAAAGAACATTTGCAATGTGAAGCAACATAGCAGCTTTGCAAATTGCTCTTCACAGCCAGCGCAATTAAAGAACATTTCAAATCAAGAGGTGTTCTAGTAGTGTTGCATTGTATACTGTAAACCTTCATCTACATCTGTAGCATTATCCCTGATACAGGAGCGTATATTTATTATAAAACAATTCCACTGTTTAAAAATTGAACAGTTGATTTTGAATGCTCAAATACAAAGTAATGATCTGAAGAAAAGTTAAATACACAATAAAAAGGCTTGTACAGAAGATCAATTGTAAGAACCATAAAAAATATACAAAAAATTGACATAACAGAAGAGCGTGCTCCCATTAACACAGTCTACCACTGGGGTGATAGAGTTCTTCGGACAGCCAACAGGTGCCCAGGATATAAAGGTCCTCCTCGCTGTAGGAAACTCACCAGCACCCTCCCTGTTGGTGTGGAACAGTCTCATTTACACCAGAGAGCAGGGCAGGGCTCTCCTGAAGCAGAAAGCTTCCTCCCCCCAACAAGAGCCTCCTCCCCCCACTGAGCCCCCGCCCACTCCGATCTCTTATTCGAGATGAGATCACTTTATTGGCCATATTCAATTTCTTGCATTAGGAATTTGTCTTTGCGCATACCCCAGCTTGCTCTCCATGTGACACGGACGGGGAGAGAGAAGCTTGGGGTCAGAGCGCGGGGTCGGCCATTGTACAGCGCCCCCGGAGCAGCTGGGGTGAAGGGCCTTGTTCACGGGGGCCCAACGGAGTAGGATTCCACTGCCGGCCGCGGGATACGAACCGGCAACCCTCCAGCCACAGGCGCAGATCCTGAGCCACAGAGCCACCGCTCCGCCTATGTGTCCAGGGAGCCGGTGGAGGCGTGTTCCCCGTCCACCGCGCACCCTGCTCCGGCCCGCCGCGCGGCCAGGTCGCTGGCCACGGCCAGGGCGCCCCCCTTGAGGAAGCGCACGAAGTTCTCCCCCACCAGCGGGCCCAGCGCGTACAGCCCGGGCTCCCGCAGGGACTCGTGGGTGAAGGGGTCCACGTCCACCGGGTTGCGGCGGCAGGAGATGGGCTCCTCGGCGTCCACGCCCAGGTGGCGCCCGCCGTGCGGCAGGAAGGAGAGGCTGGGGTGGGACCCGATCAGCACCAGCACCAGGGACACCTGCAGCACCGTCTGCCGGCCGCCCTCCCCTTCCAGCACGCACTTCCTGTCCGGCCGGAACGCCGCCACGCGGTGCCTGGGGAAGCTGAGGTACCCGGGATAAGAGCCCGTGAAGCCGCAGGAGTCTCCCAGGGTGCCAGCCGGCGTCTCCGGCCCATCCTGTGGCTGGAACTGCTGCTGGGTCATCATCTGGTGCACCTTGTGGTACTCGGGGTACAGCACTTTGGGCAGCTGGTTGAAGATCAGGCCCGGGTCGCCGACCGCGCGGCGGAAGGCGTGGTACACAGGGATGTTGAAGTGGTGCGCTACCAGCACCGCGTCCGCCGCGGTCAGCCCCGCCCCCACGACCAGCACGGGCGCAGAGCCCTCGCCCACCTGCCCGCTGGCCATCGCCGCCTCCAGCTCCAGGAAGCTGTGGGCCACGAAGGGCAGGTCCTCGCCCTCCGCGCCCAGCCGCGCCGGGACGTCCTGCGTGCCTGTGGCCAGCACCACGCTCCGCGCGCGCACCGAGAACGGCTCGCCCTCCGCGCCCTGGCCGTCGCTGCCTCGCACCCCCTGAACCTCCCACACAGTCCGGGGGCTCCCGCCGGCCGCGCCCCCACACGGCACCCGCCGCAGGGAGGTCACCAAGGTCTCGGGGGCGAAGCGGCTCTGCAGGCCCATCGCCGTGACGTAGTGCTGGTAGTAGGAGGCGATCTCCGCGGGCGTGGCGCGGTCGTTGCGCAGGTTCCTGCACAGGACAGAGGGAGAGAAGAGCTCCTTAGTGTTTCAGATTGACACCATCAACCACAGTGAAAAGAAGAAACCAGATGACTGACTTTCTTGTTTCTTGAATAATTTTAGTACAGCTAATTCAGACGCCCGTTGACGTATCTCCATCTGGAGTTTTTCCACTTTTACAAATACAGTCCTGCTCACAGAGCTCTTACCCTAGCAGATCAGAGATGCAAATTTCTGTTACAAGAATACAGAAGAAAAAAAAATAGCCTCGCAGACCCAGTTACATCGGGTAACCTACTTGCACATTTTAGCAATGACGCAAGCAGGCCACTAGGCGGGGCTGCTGCACTGTGTGGCACCCTCACCTGCGCTTCTCTCGGATCCAGTCCTTTAGCTTGAGTCCTGGCAGCTCCATCCAGTTGGCCAGGCTGAGGGTGAGCATGGAGTCCTCCATCGCCTGAGGACGACACAGAGGCCAGTCATCACCAGTCCGCAGCACACTGCCTGCAGACTGCTCACGCTTCCAGGCTTGACTACACGCAGCTCAAAGTACAGCACTCCCAGAAAACCAGCGAGCTTTTATTATTTCCATAAGCAAACAGAAGGCCCAGAGATGCAAATCACATACACAATCTTATCCCTGTCCCTTTCTCAGAATGGAGGAGGTTTACATGTTGCTGCGAGACCTTGGTGTGACTTTGAATGGTTTAAGATAAAGAAGTAGTAAACACACCCAGCCTCTTTGTGAGCCGTCAACACTAGAGTGACAGTTTACCGTTTGCTGCAGTAGGCAAAAGAATTAAAACTTGCTAAAACAAACATCTTGATGGGGGGAGGGGGGGAACACGAGGTTCCCGATTCTGAGAGGTGCTGGCAGTAGTCCTGCAGTTCCCTGGACAACAAGCTGCTGAGTCATGCTCTGGGTGAAGTGATGAGTCACCGAGGAGGGGGGAGGGGTTCCCTGGCTGTTCCCACACCAGCTCCCACTCCCCTTTCAGGGGGGCTATACGGACGCAGCGCAGGACCGTGCCCAAAAACTAGTGGCAACGACCGGCCCAGGTGCCTCCTGAAACAGCAGCGCTTCCTGCTCTGAAATGTGCCCACGCAGTGTGGAGGCTTGGGCAAGGGCAAGGCCAGGCAGCTGAGTCTCTTGTCACGGCTACACGCTCAGGACCAGCAGAACAGAGGTAGCTGGACACCTTGAGCCCTTTTTTGGAAGCTGGTAATAACAGAAGGCTGCTGCAGCCCCTCCACCCTCCCCGTCACCAGGTGAACCGCAGCGCCCCCTGGGCCCTGTCAGCTGCACTTACATGCCAGGCGCCCCCCGGCAGGCCCTTGCCCAGGACCAGGTGGGGGATGGCACGGCCCGGCTCGTGGCGCCACTGGAGCGGGGAGGGGCAGTCCGAGCCGAAGTCGCCGTCCGGCAGGAGGAGCGAGTCGAACAGCACGGCCACCGGGTTCGAGGAGCGGCCCTCCAGCCCCTCGCACAGGTACCCCAGGTCCTGCAGGGAGAGAGGGGGAGCGGGGCTCCGGTCAGGGGGCGCTTCGCAGGGCGACAACAACAACGCACAAGAGGAAGAGAAAAATAACACAGGAATAACACTGGAAGGGAAATAAAGAAGACTCAAGACGATGGCAATGAAAAAATAGGCCGTGGATAGAGGAGAAAAGGCAGACGTTAATCAAACACATAAGTTCGAGTGCGGAAAAGAGTCCCCCTGTCTCAGTGCAGCAGGGAGCGAGGCGGCTCCAAGCGAGCACCCCGAGACTCTCGTACCCCCATCAGAAGGTGCTCAGCCCCGGGGCAGAGCCCTGCTGGGCTCACAGGGAGCAATAAGAGGGGCCAAGGTGTGTAAAGGCTCTGAAAGATCCAAGTGACATTTTGAAGTGAAGCATGGGGATAAACCCTGGTGAGGCGGGGGTAGAAACACTGCCCCTCCAGGGCAGATCCGGGGGGCAGGGGGTGCGAGAGAGAGATCGGCGACGCCCCGTCCTCACCTGGTCCAGCAACGACAGCTCAGGCCGCTCCTCCAGCTTCCTCAGCAAGAAGGAGTTGGGGTGGATCCCCCCAGGAGCCAAATATGGAGTGTACCCCGACAGCAGGTACGACAGACAGATCCCCGATGGGCCGTTCCCTGTAACACACATGTAGGAGAGACACAGGGGAGTTAAGGCCGCGTACGTGGGACAGTCTCTCAGCCCAGCAGAACTGGGACAGTCTTCTTCCCCGAGACAGGGCCGTGGCACAGAATCCGAATGAAGTGTTTTGCCAAATCTGCATAGCTAATCAGCTTTGTGCACAACTGAAGCTGTGTACCAGCTCCTTCCCCAGGAAGAATTTCTCTCAACAAGATACTTATCGCATCTCGGCTAAACAAATTCTTTGGTTCTGCGCCAGTGGAATGTAAACCTGCCTCCAGCAATAAACAAAAGCAAAAGAGAGGCAGTGTGAAAGAAGCCCAGAACACAGCAGCCACAATGCCAGCGCAAAACAGCTCAAAACCTCAAGCTGATCTACTTCACAAAGAAAGCTTTTAATTGCTGTAAAGATTTTATGCATGGGATCAATCGGCACATAATTTAAACTGATGTATAGAGCCTCCACAGATACCAGGATACTCTATCCCATTTCAGTCCAGAAGTTTCCAAAACTGGTCTATTCTAAAGGAATCCCACTACACAAAGCAAGGACACCTGAGCGGCGAGGTCTCAGGGGAGAGACAGGTGGGAGCTGGACTGCGTAGCACAGGTGAGGCTAGGAAGGTGCACTGGCCCCGTCTTACCGATGATGACCACAGGGAGCACTTCAGAGGGGACAACGTGGCCGTCCAGGAGGGCCGCCGTCTCTGCCGAGGGTCTGGAACAGAACCGAGACGCAGTGGGTCAGCACACGGCCCTCACCGACGCAGACACAGAGCTCCGAGACTCGCGCGCAGGAGAGACACCTTCCCAGGGGGCACCCCGCACCAGTGCCGGCACCGTGAACCGGGCACAGGGCTGGAGCCTGTCGAACCGAGGCCCAGGGCTTCTGCCACGCACCAGGCCAGGCGGGGGGGACAAGCCATGACATCATCTGGAGTTCGACACCCCCTCTCCTGCACTGCGCACACCACGCCCCCCAGGGTCACCTGGGAAAGAGGGCGGGCCTGTGAGGCAGGGGGCAGCGGCCGAGGGCATCCCCAGCGACCCCCAGTCTGTGGGCAGGAGTCCCTCCCAGCCTCTCGGTTACATGACACACACACACCCTCTTCCCTGCACGTGCCCACACATGCCGAGTAACTGTGACTCGGCACAAAGTTCAGAGTGAAAGCACAACAGCGCCGCGCCTCCCTCAGCCCCGCTGGCTGCCAGCGGCGCTCGCCCGTGTGAGAGGGGCAGAGGCGCGCAGCTCGAAGCGCCCATCCCGCAGCTCCAGAGTTCATCACGGAGCCGCCCGGCAAGGCAACAGAGGGATCTGGGGAACAGCCGAGGGGCGGCCGTCCTGTATCCCGATTCCCGATGCCCTCTCCGACACGCACAGCCAGAGCCCAGCTCCTCAGGGCAGCACGTCTGCCCCATCCACAGCCTGCTCACCGTCCTGCATGCGATCCTTCCGATCCCGAGAAGCGCTGCAGAGCAGTAGGGGCAGACCAAACTCCTCCAGTGGGTAAGAAGAACAAACCACAGCTCTGAACCTGCCCCCCCTGTTCTCAGGGAGAGACCCGAGACCTCTGCCAGGCCCGCCAAGAACAAAAAGCCTCTTCAAAGTCCAAAGCACAAAAAAAAAAGTAATACACCAATGACCCAGATCTCTCTGCGGTCCAGGGGGTGCTCTGAGGTGGGTCTGGACGGGGCAGACTCGCCGGGCTCGGGAGAGATGCACACGCCAGCTGCTCTGGGTCTGAAGCCCAGGCAGGGGAAGACCGTGCACGGGTGACAGCGGCCTACAGCTCTTTCAGCTCCCTCCCCCTGAAGCCCTGTGCCGACTCCGATCTGGCTTTTACTACTGCAAAAAAAACAAACAAACACGGGGGAGTTTCTCCTCGACGCTCACGTTTCATACGGCAGGCTACAGGACGTGACCGGGTCACAGGGCTGACGGACACGACTCGACACTCGGAGATTAAGGGTTCAGCTCCGAGCCGGCCATCGTAGACTGTCGGTGCGTGTCGTAACAGCACGGGTCAGTGAGGGCGACCGCTCCTCCGTGGACACTTCTCCCGGAGCAGCAGGCAGACACAAAGGCCGGCGCCTCGTCAGCCCTGCCGACCCACCAGACCTGCGTGCTGAACTGGCACGATGGCGGAGTCGCCAGCAAGACGGCGGCCCCGCCGGCCGGCTCCTGACCGGCTCCGGCCCACGCCGCGCAGAGCGCCCCCCACTCCCGAGCCGCGCGGGCCCGGCCGGGGGTCTCGTTGCACACAAACACGCCTCTCCACGCGAGCTGTCACATTCAGAAGACCTTCAGTGGGCTCACGGAGGCGGATGTGATTCCGAGCACGATTTTATTTCGAACAAACGTCTACCATTTCACCGCGGGCATGGGGCTTCTTACTGGCCAGCCCGGCGGGCAGACGGGCAGAGACAGATAACGGGACTGGATCCGCCGACAAAGGTGAAAGTTAATCGCTTCTCGGCGGCAGAACGAGAGGAGAAGCGGCAGCGCAAAGCGCACGTCTCTCTTCGCCGACCACAGGGGAACATCGCTCAACTCCGGCCGCCGTCTTTTGGCAGCGAACGACACAAAAAAATCTAGCCAGGAGGAAGGACGTTGCACGCAAATATAAAAAAATACAAGCGTAAATAGCGAGGAAATAAACGGATTGCGTTACACTGTATTACTCACCGCATCATTATTAACTTCGAACACGGGATGAATCTGGTCGGAATTCCGTCTCGGCGCTTTCACAGGTTAAAAGCCAGAGGGCCGACTCCCACACCCACCCGCGACAGCGGCGTGTCTGCAATTCCCTGCACTCTCCTCCCCACGCGCAGCACCCGGCTCGGGCTCTAGGTCACAGGGGGTGGGGCCGTCTTCTCCTGACGTCATTCCTCCCCTCCCCTGGCCAATCAGAGCCCCTTGCCCCGGAACGCCGCGCCTTCTCATTGGTCCGTGTGAAGGTGACGTAATGGCCCAAGCTTGTATAACATACCGTATCTTTTTCTAGAAGGTGCAGCTGCGCTTGCCGTGTTAATGTATTTAATTTATTCATTAGGCAGACTTTTTTTTTTATATACGAGGTGTCACTCACTGACTGTTACAGGGTTACATGAGAGTATTTCATCACGGAGAATTAGGGAATGCAAAAAATTTTTTAAAATTTAAAATATTGCAAATTAAAGCCGTTGCAGAACTTACCGACTCCAGTCTCTGTAAGAACCAACTGTGACTATTATTCTCCAGATGAATAGTTTCCTTCAGGCAGTTTTATTTAGCAGGCAGCCGCGCTCCTATGGCCTGGCATTGAAGACTAGGTTAATGGTCTAAGTCAAGTTGCTTTGGACCAGAATTTCTAAACCGGTGCCCCAGTGTGGAGACCAGAGACACTGTGCTCCCTGGCTGCGCCCTAAATTCAGTCCTCTGCTTTAGTTCTGATCATTATTTTCATAATCTTGCATGCAATAAAAAAATATGTCTTGATTCAGTTTCCTCACCCTGTAAAGGGGCAGGTGTCTGATTAGCAATTTCCCAGGATGGGGTTTTCCACTGTCTCTGTGAGACTGCTGGGGTACACCCGACACGATTTCTGAGGGTTCGCATGTTCCTTTTACTACACCTCTGTCGGCTTTGGCATTTTCTCTGTGGTGTTGAACACACGTCTGGAGCCTTTAAAGAAATGTGCAGGTATATGCTGCGAGAGCCGGGCCGGCCCGTGACGTCCCCCCGGGCAGTTCCGGAGACCGCGACACGCCAAGCCGTTTGGAGAACTCGGGCAGTTATCCTAGAAGATAATTCTAGGTCCCGCACACAGAAAGATGTGTAATTCCATCCGCAGGCAGCAAACGGTTCTGCTTGCTTGAAGCCTAATCACCCCCTCCCCTCCCTCATGGCTGGAAGTCACAGGGGACCCAGGCCCTGTCACTTAGTAACAGCCCTTCACCATGGCAACTGCGGAATAGTCTGGTTGCCTTGTCTCCAGGGGGGCGTGGCTACCACAAGGACACCTGGGCAAGGTGTCGAGGGCTTTAGAAATAAGAACCTTCTAGTTACTGTAGTCAGGCGCTGCACCCAACTGCTAATCGGAAATATATTCAAATGGGCCCTTATTCGCCTAAGGCCTTAATCTTTTTCATTTCTATTGATTTTGTGCAAACTGCTTTGGCTTGACTGGTGAGTTACAGTGTGGCCAAAGCATATACATTCACTACAACAACTACAAATCACCAAATGGGTGTGAGGGCAGGTTCCACATGGCTGCGGTGGAGATCAAGCAGAACCAGCAGATCAAGCCGTGTCCAGGTGCTGATGACATGGTGTCCCTGAGCATGTATCTGCTCTAACGCCCCTCCCGAGGCACTCTGGGGAACAGGTGTGCTGCTTTCCCCTCGGCCGGCGAGTGACTTTGTGCTCCACACAACCACTGTCTCCCTCTGACCCCTCTCAGAAGAAGAGGCCGGCCCAGCAGAGCAGGCATGTCCCTGCATTGCTGTAAGGTGACAGGTGGCCACAGGGCTGGTTCTCATGCTCCTGTGTTTGATCTCCTGCAGACAAGGACAGAGCTGGACTCCAAGATGCAAGACTCAGGGTCACGTTTGTCCAGTGGAGAAGATTTACTGTAAAGACCTGTAGCAGAACTCGGGTGACCCAGTCGAGGTTTGGTGCTCTATAACTACTATTATTCTGTCTCTATCCCTCAGATTTGCTTTTCTGTTTGGTCACTTTGGTTGTGGAGTTTGTCCCCACAGTCCTCGGGACTCAGCCCTCGCTGCGCACTTACAAGTCTCATGCTGCCTAGTCAGGAGCCCAGCCATGCAGAGTTCAAAGAGAAAGATAACAATATGCTTTAACTAAGACGTGAACACAAAGGAAGGAAGTCAGCTTGAGGCTCAATGTTTATAGAGTTCATCCGGCCGGATTTGAATCTACATGCAATCCTTCTGAAGCCGGCATTGTGCTAACAGTCACGCAAGTAACTACCGACCCGTAGTCCTGACAGGACGGTGCTTTGTTCTGGGCAGTAAGTACCAGGAGCTAGTGGATGCGCTGCAGTAAAGCTGCAGGAGAAGCAGTTGTTCTTACAAGTAGGCACTGTGGGCAACAGGGCGCTAAATGAAAAAATTGCTAAGGTTACGATATTGCTAAGAGTAAACATTCACCTCAGTGCTTTGAAATATCTAACAAAAGGCCTGCTGAGAGGAAATCGTACAAAAAGAACTGGAAGAGAAATATTTTGAAGCTCAACGCTTTGATGTTTTAGATCCTGAAAAAGAGGAAAACTACCCACAGCTCTGGGGGGTGTGGGGAATATTGGCTCACTCAGGGCACCCTGTTCCACAAAGGTGAAATGAAAAGAAACATTTATACAGGTTTATCTAAAATGGCAATTAAGTGTTACACAACACTAGTGTTGACCAGCACAGGGGGAGATGATCTGCGAGGTGGTTGTGTTTGCTGGTTGGCTCTGGGGCAGGGGGCAGAGGGATCAAGGTGCATCTCACTAGTGTCCAGGGGGAGGAGCACCAACCTGCTTCAGCACTGAGAGTGAATAGCCAGGCACTGGTTTTGAAGATCACAGCTGTTGATTGATGCATCAGTTTTATTTTCTACAGACTGTTACAATGACAGGCACAAGGTCAGTTTTTATTTGCACAGTCAGGGCAGAGTTTCTCTGCGTCTACAATCCTCCAGTCTGGCACGAAATCCTAAATGTCTTCACACCTGGGAACAAGTCCAGCCTGAGGAGTCACACCCACCCCCCCCCCAGACCTAGAGATCTGCTGACTGGGGCACTCAAGCTGTGAAGCAGTAGAGGCGAAGGGCAGTTCCAGAACAGTGTTAAAACATAGTGGGATCATGCATGCGCTGAATGATCCTGCAAGACAGCACAGCCCGTGTGTGTTACAGCAGTTTCCATTAAGATCAAAGTGACTTAAACAGTGGCAATGCAACATTACAGTTTGCTATCCCCGAAGAATGCACTGGTTTCCAGCAGGGGGGGTGGGGGGTGGGGCATCTCTCTCTCTCTCCTCACTCACCATCAGCTGCTACTCTGTGAACTCCATCGGTTCATGGCAGTTCAAATCCCAGCTGCTACGTGCAGATCCCCCAAGCTCCTACACTTTCACACACTTTCACACACTGCTGCACTGGCTGGGGTATCTCCACCCCTCACTGTTGAGCCCAGAGCAGTAAGAGCTGCCTGCCAGGAACTGACAGGAGTTTTCCTGATGCAGCTCAGCTTCACTTCCCTAAAGAGGAGTGTTTTAATCCATCCTACCTGTGTTTTTACTTGTTATGTGTGTAACGTGTGTGCTACTGTATGGCACATTGAAACTCTAAAAGTTAATGGAAATAAAATTAGAAGGCTGCAGAATCCGGTAGTTAATCTGCAATACGTATGCCCTTGCAATTTACTAAGTAGAATGTATGGTTTCTAGAGGGGCACACATAGACCCACACCGCTCATTACAGCAGTGCAGTGGATACGTGCCAAGGCATGAGGGGCACAACAGTCAGTGGCACTTCAGGATGCTAATGTGCACCAGCGAGGGTGGTATCGTGCATCAAAGTGAGTGCCAATGTGCACCAACAAGAGTGCATTGTTTAGCATTCCTCTTGTTACCAGTTTATTATCCTCTCTAAGATAGAACCAGCAGGCTGCAAGGTCACCCATCCGCTAAAAATAACTTTACATGCTATCTAGGACAGTTTGCCTCACATAAAGCAGTTATTATTCTCTCTACACGAGCACAGCCCTACAGAGGCAGCAGCAAGACAGAGCTGCCAATGGACTGGGCTGATTTCATGTGAGGGCACTGCAAAGTCTTTGTAGCACAGTGATATTAACTTGATTAATAGGTTTTCAACATCTTTATGCATGTTTTAGCTCTTCTTTTCGAAACCTAACCCTGGGGAAACACAGACAAGTCGCCCTTCGGTGCAGGAGGAATCTTCCCTGCTAGGCTGGAACTATGTCAAGATCTTAAACAGCCTCTCCAGTTACCGCATGTAACTTGTCAGCACCACAGGAAGGTGCCGGTTAGGGTTCAGTCGGAAGGATCGCTCTTTAACTGACCACTTTCCTGTGCTGTTTCCACACAATGAGCACTCAAACGCCTGAGCAAGCTGGGATGGTTTGGCAGCTGTAGGAGGAGTTAGAGACAGCTCTGCCCAGTAATGGCTGTAATTCACTGCACTTTATAAGGTGTAATGCGGAGGGACAGGCTGACAGTCTCAGTGTCG